ATCAAGAGCACAGTAGAAGCCTGCCAGCCGTGTCAGGCCATGCAACCCAGCCAACAACAGGAACCCATGCAGAACGAAGACCATCCTATGAGACCTTTCGAGTCGGTATCAGCCGATTTCTTCACAGTCGCAGGGAAACCCTTCCCTGTGATTGCAGACCGTCTCTCTGGCTGGCCTGTCGTCGTCCCCTGTGGTGCCTCGTCTACAGCATCACGCACCACACGCATGTTCTGCCACTATTTTCGCGATGTTGTTGTTCCACTCCGCCTGAGGACAGACGGCGGACCCCAATTCACCAGCTCCGAGTTCAAGGACTTCATGAAACGATGGGGAGTTCACCATGTGATATCATCGCCCCATTACCCTCAGTCGAATGGCCATGCCGAGGCAGCTGTTAAGTCAACCAAGTACCTCATCATGAAAACGGCGCCCTCCGGCAACATCGACAATGAAGGCTTCGACAGAGGCCTCCTTGAACTGCGCAACATCCCTAACGCCACAGGAAGATCGCCAGCACAGATTCTCTACGGACGCCCGCTTCGCTCCTGCGTTCCGGCCCACCCGGAATCCTTCTCACAGGAATGGCAGGAGAAATCCGAAGACTGTGACCGCCGAGCAGCTGCCCAAGCTGAACAAGTCAGACAGTGGTACGATCAGCATGCCCGTAGTCTGCCGAAGTTGCATTTGGGACTGACATTATGTATCCAGGACCCGACTTCGCTACGCTGGGACAAGATCTAAACAGTTATGGGCTGCGGAAGAACCAGGGACTACGAGATCAGACTACCGAGTGGACGAGTCTGGTGGCGAAACCGACGTTTCCTGCGACCAATGCCTACCCTAGTGCTGATCCCTTCCCCTACATCCCTGTGACACCATGCTCGGACATGAAAATGAAGTCCTCTATCAGTGAACCCCCAGTGTTCCCACGTCGATCAAAGCGACTGATGAAAAAACAGTCCACTCGAAACTGAGCTACGAGCATTAAGGGGGAGGGAGGTGTAGATACGTGTTATACACCAGTAAACTTATTGATGATAGTGTACATATTATTCCCTGTATATGTACTATTACATAGCTTATGTAACCGTTATATACTTATTCTTTATACCACGTATCCCTGTGCTCCCTTGGCGACGACAGTGACGTCATGCCAATTCATGTTTACCCTCTCGCCTGTTCCTTCGAGCCGTGCGGACGATCTCCGGACGCCTCTTCCTTCTATCAATTTAATACAGCCTCTAAAGTGAAGACAGACTTTCAATAGAACTTAGAACTATCATTCGGACATGACCAAAGAATATATATATATATATATACTATATATATATATATATATATATATATATATATATATATATATATATATATATATATATGTATATATATGTATATATCTATGTATATATATGTTATATATCTATATTATCTACACATATATATATACATATCAATATGTATATATATATATATATATATAGTATATATATATATATTTATATATATGTATATATATATATCTATATATATAATCTATCTATATATATATATTTATATATATTATGTATAGTACCATATATCTATATCTATATTATTATCTATCTATCTATATATCTATATCTATCTATCTACATATATATTATATATATATATATATATATATAATATATATATATATATAATATATATATTTGAGAGAGAGAGAGAGAGAGAGAGAGAGAGAGAGAGAGAGAGAGAGAGACATTTTAANCAAGTGTTGATCTTTGTCTAGACCCTGAGTATGCCGCCTCTAAGGAGATTACGTGTTTTTTTTTTTTCTTCTACGGTTCCCTTCCAACCGATACACGACTGCACAAGTCGCTGCTCCCAACTGGAAAAATCCGAGACAGCCTCTCTGCCGACGGGGAGTTGGTTCTGTACGGCCACCGAATCATCATACCTACTGCTTATCGCCGACGCACACTCACCCAACTCCACGCCAGCCACCGCGGCGTAGAGGCGACGAAACCTCGGGCACGGCAGACCGTATTTTGGCCTGGAATAGATGCTGACATCAAGAGCACAGTAGAAGCCTGCCAGCCGTGTCAGGTCATGCAACCCAGCCAACAACAGGAACCCATGCAGAACGACGACCATCCTACGAGACCTTTCGAGTCGGTATCAGCCGATTTCTTCACAGTCGCAGGGAAACCCTTCCTTGTGATTGCAGACCGTCTCTCTGGCTGGCGTGTCGTCGTCCCCTGTGGTGCCTCGTCTACAGCATCACGCACCACACGCATGTTCTGCCACTATTTTCGCGATGTTGGTGTTCCACTCCGCCTGAGGACAGACGGCGGATCCCAATTCACCAGCTCCGAGTTCAAGGACTTCATGAAACGATAGGGAGTTCACCATGTGATATCATCGCCCCATTACACTCAGTCGAATGGCCATGCCGAGGCAGCTGTTAAGTCAACCAAGTACCTCATCATGGAAACAGCGCCCTCCGGCAACATCGATCCAGTTACTTGTGCGGAGGCACAGGTCAAGATGATCCTGTTGATGGGAGTCAAGGATGAAGAGCTCGTGCAACGCCTCTTCTCCACGCACGCAGATGCATCACTACAAGAGATGGTTACCTGCTGCCGATCGTTCGAGGCCACCAAGGATGCTGCATCAGCCATCCACTCATCCCCAAGTCAACTGTGTGCTGTTTCAAGCTACAATAGGAAACAGCGAGACAAGACGACCCGCTCCTCACCTCCACGAAGTCAGAACAAGCCTTCATCGCCCAACGCTGATTCCTGCCGTTCATGTAACCGACGCCACGACACCGGAAAATGCCCCGCCAAAGAAGCCATCTGTATGAATTGCGGATGCAGAGGACACTGGCCCCGGACTGCTAGGTGTCCTGCCAAGGATGTCACGTGCAACTCATGTCACAAGATGGGACACTTCGCCAAGGTGTGCCGATCTGGAAAGTCGGATTACAGTAAAGGACCAGCGTCACGTCCAAAGTATAAGAACTGTCGACGTGTATCAGCAGACAGCAAGACCCCACAGCCCGTATGCATTCTTCTCACCTACGGCCAGACATCCAAGATTACAGATGCTCCCAGACACAGGCGCTGATGTCACAATCATAGGCAAGAAGCATCTCGAACAGCTTAAAATTCCATGCAGCGACCTACAGCCCCTTGAGTCCACCAATACTTTCACAGCTGATGGATCAGAAATGGCTCCTGCCTTGGGATTTTTCCAAGCAAAACTTCAACTGGGAAAGAAGACTTGTAAAGCGAAGATACAAGTCCATGATGGTGTCACGACTCCCCTCCTCTCTTACAGGCACTGCCAGGAGTTAGCCATCATTTCTCCCCAGTTTCCGAAGCCGATATTGGAGGTCAAACACGCTAACAGGTGTGCCGAGTCACACCTACCTGACCTGCCAACGCCGTCTGCTGCAAGAAAGTATTTCCTTCAGGAATACAATGACGTGCTGCTCACCAAGCAGGATCTCAAAGCAGCCCCGCTACAACCGATGACAGGTGGGCCCATGCGGATCCACTTAAAAGAAGGAGCAGTCCCATTTGCCATTCACACCCCAAGACCAATCCCCTTCGCGTTTCAGAAAAAAGTGAAGGAGGAACTCGAATCGATGGAATGCCAAGGCATCATCGCACCTGTTGGTGATGACCCCTCAGATTGGTGCCACCCACTAGTCACCGTAGCGAAGGACGAAGGAGTGAGGATCACTGTCGACTTATCCCATCTTAATAGTCAGGTATCCAGACCAACGCACCCTTCACCAACACCCTTCGATGCAGTCCGCCGAGTTACCCCATCATCACGGTACTTCACGAAAGCGGACGCCCTGTGCGGATATTGGCAACTTGAACTTGCCGAGGAGGACCAACACCTGACATCCTTTATCACGCCGTACGGAAGATTCAAGCACCGTCGGGGTCCCATGGGCTTCTCAGCTACTGGAGACGCTTACTGCCGTCGAGGAGACATAGCTCTCCAGGGGATGCAGAGGTGCGTCAAGGTGGTGGACGACATTCTCCTCTATGACGACGACTTCAAGACCCACATCCAGCAAGTTGACCAGATGCTTCGTAGGTGTCGCAAGAACGGGATCACTCTCAACCGAGACAAATTCGTGATCGCCGCCCCTAGTGTAAGCTTCTGTGGTTACACCATCTCAAACAAGGGCATAGAAGCGGACCAGGACAGAGTCAGTGCCATCCGTGATTTTCCCACACCTGCAAACGTGACCGACCTGCGTTCCTTCATGGGCCTGGTGAACCAGCTGTCAGAATTCACCCCAAGCATTGCGGCTACTGCCCAAACACTCCGCCCCTTGCTGAGCCAAAAACGCACATTCATATGGACAGCCGACCACGACGAGGCCTTCCGACGTGTCAAAGAAGCACTGTCGCAACCACCTGTGTTAGCACACTTCGACCCGTCACTCCCAATTGTGCTACAAACAGACGCCTCTCGACTCTACGGTATCGGCTACGCCCTACTACAAGATCATGGCCAGGGACGTTACGCCTCGTTCAGTGATAGTATATCAGAGGACGAGAATCTCTGCAATGACGCAGCAACCCACCTGAGGAGTATAGTGACCTGCAACACCATCGGCACCGTAACTGACCCCAAGAATCAAGACGCCGACAGAACCCTGCAAGAGCTACGCGAAGCAGCAAGTGTCGACCCTGAGTATGCCCCCCTCAAGGATTACGTGTCTACTGGGTTCCCTTCCAACCGATACGACCTGCACAAGTCGCTGCTCCCCTACTGGAAAATCCGAGACAGCCTCTCTGCCGACGGGGAGTTGGTTCTGTACGGCCAACGAATCATCATACCTACTGCTTATCGCCGACGCACACTCCCAACTCCACGCCAGCCACCGCGGCGTAGAGGCGACGAAACGTCGGGCACGGCAGACCGTATTTTGGCCTGGAATAGATGCTGACATCAAGAGCACAGTAGAAGCCTGCCAGCCGTGTCAGGTCATGCAACCCAGCCAACAACAGGAACCCATGCAGAACGACGACCATCCTACGAGACCTTTCGAGTCGGTATCAGCCGATTTCTTCACAGTCGCAGGGAAACCCTTCCTTGTGATTGCAGACCGTCTCTCTGGCTGGCGTGTCGTCGTCCCCTGTGGTGCCTCGTCTACAGCATCACGCACCACACGCATGTTCTGCTACTATTTTTCGCGATGTTGGTGTTCCACTCCGCCTGAGGACAGACGGCGGACCCCAATTCACCAGCTCCGAGTTCAAGGACTTCATGAAACGATGGGGAGTTCACCATGTGATATCATCGCCCCATTACCCTCAGTCGAATGGCCATGCCGAGGCAGCTGTTAAGTCAACCAAGTACCTCATCATGAAAACGGCGCCCTCCGGCAACATCGACAATGAAGACTTCGACAGAGGCCTCCTTGAACTGCGCAACATCCCTAACGCCACAGGAAGATCGCCAGCGCAGATTCTCTACGGACGCCCGCTTCGCTCCTGCGTTCCGGCCCACCCGGAATCCTTCTCAGAGGAATGGCAGGAGAAATCCGAAGACTGTGACCGCCGAGCAGCCGCCCAAGCCGAACAAGTCAGACAGCGGTACGATCAGCATGCCCGTAGTCTGCCGAAGTTGCATGTAGGACAGACAGTACGTATCCAGGACCCGACTTCGCTACGCTGGGACAAGATCGGAACCGTTATGGGCTGCGGAAGAACCAGGGACTACGAGATCAGACTACCGAGTGGACGAGTCTGGTGGCGAAACCGACGTTTCCTGCGACCAGTGCCTACCCCTAGTGCTGATCCCTTCCCCCACATCCCTGTGACACCTTGCTCGGACATGAAAACGAAGTCCTCTATCAGTAAACCCCCAGTGTTCCCACGTCGATCAAAGTGACTGATGAAAAAACAGTCCACTCGAGACTGAGCTACGAGCATGAAGGGGGAGGGAGGTGTAGATACGTGTTATACACCAGTAAACTTATTGATGATACTGTACATATTATTCCCTGTGTATGTACTATTACATAGCTTATGTAAACGTTATATACTTATTCTTTATACCACGTATCCCTGTGCTCCCTTGGCGACGACAGTGACGTCACGCCATTTCATGTTTACTCTCTCGCCTGTTCCTTCGAGCCGTGTTGACGATCTCCGCACGCCTCTTCCTTCTATCCATTTAATATAGACTCTAAAGTGAAGACAGCCTTTCAATAGAACCTAGAACTATCATTCGGACATGACCATACACCCCCCTCTATCCTTCTCACTCATTTCCTTGACCATGTCTCCATTCATTCCTCCAGCATTCATGTTTACACTGACGGTTCCAAATCCATCTCAGGAGCTGGATTCGCAGTAACATTCCCAAATTGCACTTTCAAATATACTCTCCCTCCTGAATCTAGTGTCCTTAAGACAGAACTATATGCAATCCTTTTTGCCTTAAGACGCATATACTCATCCATTAACTGACTCCTGTAACTCTTTAACCATCATAAAGTCTATGCACTCGACCTTCTTGTACACCCAATGGCAATCTTTTTGGTCAAGACTCCACAACAATAAATTACATACCGTAAAACCATCAATCTCCTCTTGGTCAGCTCCATTTCACAAAAAAAAGACGTTGGGAGACGGCCCTCGCACGATTACGTATTGGCCACACTCGCCTAACACATGCCTATTTGATGTCACGCACAGACCCGCCCCTATGTCCTCTATGTAACGTCCCTCTTTCAGTCCCACACATTCTCTTGTCCTGTCCACGCTTTAATACAGCACGTACCTCTGCTTTTCCACACCTATCCTCCCTTCACCGACCACCCAACATATCAGACATCCTTACAGAATCCCACAGCTTCTGCCTCGACCTGTTCTCCTTCCTCAGACGCATAAATATCCTTCACTTGATCTAACTCCCTTACCTAAACCACCATAATCTTTTCCCTCATCTTCAACCTTTCAACACTATTCTAGATAGTTGACACAGCAACTATCACCTGACATCCCCCTTTACTATACCTTCCTATAGGGCTATATGACCTTAGATGTCTAGCACATTTATCTTAACCATTAACCATTGTTACAATAACTGCAGAGTCCATATTGGATTGAAATGCTATCCCAGACAGCCCAGGGGTTGCTTCTTCAACATCTAAAAAATAAATAATTATTCAATTTTCATATATACTTTTTAAGTCAAATATGATACACCTACATAATCCTAGACCTACTTTAAGCTTATGATATCAAAACTAAGAAATATATATATATATATATTATATATATATATATATATATATATATATAGAGAGAGAGAGAGAGAGAGAGAGAGAGAGAGAGAGAGAGAGAGAGAGAGAGAGAGAGAGAGAGAGTTGCATGGATATATTAATACAAGTTTACCTTAAAATCGTTTTCTGTAAAATGATCATTTGAAAAAGAAAACGTTCTTGGGCCAACTATTACAAACATCGAATGTGATTAATATATTTACTAATTCACCATATACTAACTCGGTTTAGCACAAAAAAAGTAAAATAATGAAGCTGCAGTTGTAAGTATGAATAAACACATCAATCACCTGTTTATCATTATCATACCCCCCCCAATCCCTTGAAGTCCAGACGGGCCAGGCCGCGGGGTCACTGGGGTCGTCGGGGTCCTCGCTGCGGGGTCACTGGGGTCGTCGGGGTCTTCGCTGCGGGTCACTGGGTTCGGGGTCCTCGCTGGGGTCACTGGGTGCTTCGGGGGTCTTCGGGGTCATTGCCGGCAGGAATGGCGTTCCCTGTCGGACACCGGAGGATAGTCTCACGACGTCGACGAAAAACAGGTGGTAGACTACTTCCGGCTTGTAATGGTGGAGAAACGGACACCAAGCCAAGTATTGTTTGTAGAATTCTTGTCCATTATCTGGTCTCGTGCTCCACTCTTTCACGTTTTGCCGCAATCGGTCAATGTTGTGTGTGTGGATCACCGGGTTTTGGGGGATCCACATAAGTATTCGGTGTGGCTTATGGCTTGGGTGTCCATAGACGTTTTCACCGGCGTGTAGTCCATCCGTCACTCATGCGCGTTTGTGCGTATAAACGTCATTTCCGGGTTTAATAAGCACGGACCTAACCTAATGGAGCATGTATTTTCGTCGGTAATTTTCTATATTACCTCTTTCGTCTAGTTTGTTTCACTCTTAATGAGCAGGAACCCAATCGAGGGCTTGGCTGCCGTACCAAGAGTCACTTCCACATGCTTACTTGTATTAATAAGCTTTAGGGTTGCAGCGCCACGTGTCCGCAGCGCCGCGTGTCCTCTTCAGGGGCAAGGAAGAGGCTCTCAAATCCCACCGGACTTTACACCTTCCTTTCATAGTTCTTAATTTTTTCGCCATTACATCTCGTTTACACCTTCTTTCGTAGTTCCTAATTTCTTCGCCATTACATCTCGTTCATCAGCATTCCCCCTCACATATCTTCGCTTACCAGAGTGTCTCGTCCATTTCAAGTTCGCCGACGGGTTTCTAGATATGTGGCCACGTCCTCCCGTCTGCCTTAGAGAGCGCCGGCAGTATGGAGACGCCTCGTGCATGGTCCCAGGGCCTGCTAAGCCAGCGATTAATAGACGAGAAAACTGGATAAAGTTTAAAGTCGAGTTCCCGAGAGAGAGAAAAAAAATTGTCCAATTTGGTAGTCGCTCATAGTAAAATTACACGTGTTTTTTTCATGCACCACAAAAACCACTGGTGTCTTGTCTTTTCTGTGTCTTGCAGGTCGGACACCGTTTTTCCACTGGAAGCACATCGTTATTTTGAAGGTATGATACAAATTTGCGTCCTCATTTCGATAATATTTCGCGATAAAGTCTCAGTACTTACTCACACATCTCAATCACTCACTGGCCATGATGAAACTGATTTTTTTTTTTTCGATCTGCCCTTCCCTGAGCCGTCTATTGTCACGTGATGATCTATTCCACATCTGATTGGTTCTTTAGAGGTGGACGTCATTATTCTATGATGACGTCACGATCGCGCACGCATCTAATTGGCTCACATCAGCCGCTACTAATCCGTCCGATATTCCGTCGCCTTTTTTAACGTTTTTTTGTGTCATTTTGTCTTGGCATTGGGAGGGTGAGGTTGGGGTGGCTCCTGGAAAGCGAGGATTTTATGCCCATTTTAATACCGTTATTGTCAGGTTTCGAAAAAAATGGCATAGCTAAAAACTCTCATAGAATGATGTATTCTACTACTTAGGAAGCTCTGATTCTTTGATTTAGATGTCGGGCTTAGTTTCCAAAAATGTTGATGATGATGATGATGATGATGGTGATGATGATGACGATGATGATGATGATGATGATTGATGATGACGATGATGGTGATGATGATGACTAGCGGGCCCCTTGGAAATTCCACGAATAAAGCAATAGGGTCTTTTCACCCACGTGACAATATTCCTTGCAACCGTTACTAACCGCCATATTGGTCTACCATATTCCCCAACAACACATATTAGTATAAGTCAATATTAATGAAGAAAACTGACCTTTCTGAACAGTTTCCTTGTTTCAAATCAACGAACACATTTTATTTAAAGTTTTAGGAAAGCAATTATAATGGTTTTGTAAATGATTGTTGGTTGCTCAAACAAACAGACGGCAGTTTAGTTTTATCGAGCCCTTTGTCTAAAAAATCCTGCACTTTTAGTTTGACTTCTTGTATCCTTTTCGATAATGTCTATCTCATCTGTAATGCTGATATTTACTTCAAAACAAACTTTTATTAGTTCATCATTAGAAATTCCCACATTCTTTTCATCAAACAGGTCTGGAATGGTTTTGTTCTGCTCATGTACAAAAGATCCAGAGTATGGCTGTACTAAGGTTAAGGCCAATGGTTTTATTTTGCAAGCAATTAAAACTGCAAAAAAAATAGTCCATTTCTAAGGCATTTGGTTTGGAAATTAATTTGCTTTTTTTATTTTATTTTTGTTGAAAATAAGTTTGCTCGTTTTCTTTTTTATTATTATTTTATTATTATTATTATTTATTTTATATATTAAAACTGCAAAAAAAATAGTCCATTTCTAAGGCACTTGGTTTGGAAATTAATTTGCTTTTTTTATTTTATTTTTGTTGAAATATATGAAGAGCCCTGTAATGCCAGTGATTCTGATTCATCTATTTTTTTTTATTGACTCGACCAGGTTAGTTTTGTGCTTTCTAACATAAATAAAACTAATATTCTTGACCTTGTCATATGTAACCTCTTGGACATATGTGTGTAAAACCCAATTGCATTTAACCTGATTACAAGAAAGATTTCCATTTATTCTTGTCCAAGTTTCTAAATAAAACAGGACGCATGCATTGTGAGAGCAACATTCCTTTAATCCTGCCATGTATCCAGTGCAATGTGCTCAAATTATTGTTCTTTATTTGTGTATTATGACCCATAAAGTAACAGGAGGGTAGTTCATTCGGTGTGAATGTCTAACCTTAGGCAGAACTACATATATCTTTGCTATTATCTGCCCTTGCACGTTTGTGATAAAACTCGAAACCATTTGATTGTAGACCTGGAGGCTCCTAAATGCTTTGAATTGTTTATTTGTATAAAACCTTGTATCAAGAACGAGATACGACAATAGATCTGAAGTTTCAACAGGTGATAAGCAGACTGGGTTGTATTTTCCGATATCAGAAAAGGGTCATTCCCAATATTTAAAATTTTGCTCAAGTATCGCTGCTTTACACTTCCAGTTAGCTTCTTTGCATATTCAGATATCGGATACTAAGTTTTCGTTGACTCATTACGGTTTTTTCACGGACAATCTTTCATCTTTCTCGTCTTTTTTGGCCAAAGAATGGTACACCAACATGGCCGCCGCCTCGTTT